TTTATCTTTATAATCCCCTATAGAAAACTTGACCTTCACTTGTTGATTGACCTCCAATTCCTCACCTTCATTGAGCCAATGAAGTTTATAAGGTTGAGGGTGAGGAATGGTGGTGAGAGCTAGCTTGTTAACCAACCTTGTACTACAACAATTAGAGCATGATCCACTATCAACAATGAGAGAATAAGGTCTTTTAGAAACTAAACATCTTGTATGAAAGATGTTCTCTCTTTGAGATAATGAAGTGGGATAAGGTTGACTTCCAAGAAGCCTTTTGACCATAAGAAGATCACCATCAACAGGATAAATCTTTTCTATTTCATGATCACTAGTCTTCTATTCACTTTCACTAGAAGATGAAGATGATGAGGATTCTTCACTATAAATGTCTTTACCCCTTAAGATCATGGTCTTTTTGGTGGGGCATTGAGAGATAGTGTGGCCTCTACCTAGACACTTAAAACATTTGATTTCACTCGTCTTTGAACTAGTCTTTGGCCTATCTGATGGATAAGGACAAGGGTTTGGAAAGTGAGTATTTCTTCATCATGTCTATAAATTTTTGTATTTATATTAACTGACTTCCTCATGCTTTTTTCTTGTTGCCTTTCTTTTCTTGGTTTTGCAGATTTGATGGGGAAAAGCAAATGGCGTGAGCTCAAGGCAAAGTTTAACATCGAGGAGCTGGAAATCCCTGAGCGGTTGGGTGAAGAGGATGCGGCTCCCCTCCGACCTCTCCAAAAAAGAAAGAAAATGATTGAGGCTTCAAGGAGCTTTACTGTAGAGGTTGCTACGCTAGAAGTCGTCGGCTCATTTGCCCCGATCGACTTGACAAGAAGCCTGTCGCCTCGAGCATCCTTGACCAAGTTGGTTACCGAAGGGGTTTCTCATGGAGCTTAGACAGTTTCCTCCCCGGTTCAACAGGTATAGTGTTAAGTTTATCTGTGCTTTGTACTTGTGCATTTATTTCTTATAGTGTTGTGCCTACTTGATGTGTGTTTCTTGTAGGCAACCCATGTGATCTCGAATACTTTAGTGGTCGATGTCGAGGTTGGTGGAGAGACTGAGCCTCCCGTCGCGACGCCATTGAACTCGAGCTTGACGCTGGCTAGCCGATCACGATGCATCTATCAGAGGTTTGACGTAAGTCGTACTTTGGCTAGGTTGGATCACGTTAGCATGTCTCCTGACGTGATTTCCTTATGGAACCCCAACCTAACTACGGAGACTTTCTATAAGGAGTACCCTGCCTATGTGGTTGATAAGGTCATGATTGAGAAGGTGGGTCCGATCTTCAGCCTGGATTCTGGTGAGGTGTTTATGCAAAGGTCTATTGCAATAGTAGACCACTGGAAACGGAAGTGGTTGAAACACTAGGTCGAGTTGGAGAAGGCTCAAAGGGACCAGGCCGAGCTCCAAGCTATAAGGAGGGACTTTGAGAAGACCTGAAAGTCCTTGGAGGTGGCGGTGAAGGCCAATGAGTCTTATGATATGAAAGTTAGCGAGCTCTTAGAGAACATCAAGTTGGCCAAGGGCGATATGGAGGTTGCTCAAGTTCGAGTACAATCATTGAAGGGAGAGGTTGAGGCTTTAAAGGCCAAGTTGCAGACGACAGAGGAGAAACATCTTTGTGAGAGGTGCTTCTTGTTGGAAGGGTCGAGGAGATCAGTGCCTTGAAGATGAATCTCGAGGTGCTAACTTCTTCGAAGAAGGATGTATAAAAGGAGCTTTGCGAGACCTAATGCGTCGTTGTTGTCGAGCATAGGTAATGGTGTAGGTTGGAGAAGATGATGAACTTTCTTCCTTGACATTCACCAAACAACAAGGATCTTCTTCCTTGAGTTTGAACCGATTGAAAGGAGGTAGATAAGGAACTTGATGCAAGAAGAAGATGATACTAGGCTACGAATTGAAGCATCCAAGCAATAGAATCAAAGGATTGCTCACTCTCAAGTTTAGGAATGGAGAATTTCCTAGAACTAAGGCTAAGCAAGTTCGGTGACTTTTGGAAGAGAATTTGGCTGAAGAAAAATTCAGAATTCTCATATATGCAAAAGTGTCTACAAGAATGGAGGAATCAAGTATATATAGGCTCGGATAGCAAGCAAATTGGCGCCTAGGTCAAGCATCACATTTGACGCCTAGATTTGAATTCAAATTCAAAATTTGAATTCAAATCTCCACTCCCATGTGCCTTGCCATGAACCTAGGTGCTAACATGCATCTACATTTAATTTAAGAAGCATTTAGGGTTGATTTGAAGTCACACATGTTCAGCCACAAGTGGCACCATCCATGTGACTCAAATGCAACTTAAATGCATTCCAAATTAATTAAACCTAGTTTAGCCTAATTACCATAGTTAAGTAATCCTCCAATATTCCTATGCTATTGACCTAAATACAATGGTCAATCAAATACAATGGAAAAGAAAAATTACAAGAATGAAAATGAGCCCAATATTGGGTATCAAAAGCCGAAAATCCTAAACTATGTAGTCCAAAATACAAGACCAAAATATATGTAATCTATACTAACATGATATATACAAAACATAAGAAAATGGATATAACAAGATATGGCTCATGTGAAGCTCAACTTGGGCCTTCAAAGCCCATCGGGCCCATTGGCCTTGACTGGCCCAAACCTTCCTGTCTAGCCCATTCCTCTAGGATCCTTCAAGTTGTCACCCCTTGCCTTCCTAGGCATGATTCCATCATCCCCTCCCTCTTGAAAATGATTTATCCTCAAATCACGAGGAACCATATGATATGAATCATCACCTACATGCACAAGATACCACGTTTAAGAGGTGAAATGTTCAATTGAAGAAAATGGATTGTGGATCCTAAGAGGAATCCTTCTATCTAGCCTAGCAAAGAAAATTAAACTATTGAAATTAAGCTCCCTAAAGGTTGGAATAGGATCCTCTCCTAAGCATAATCTAGAATGAAATCCTAAAAATGTGATAACACTAAGACTAATACAATGGAAAGAGTTATTCTTAAAAACTAAAACATCTTGCCTAAAGTACCCTAAATGGTAACCTAGGCATTTCCTAGAATATAAAGAAAAGACTACTAGAAAACTTCATAAACAATTTTGGAT